AGCTAGACTGTTTTGCAATTGCTGTTGAATGGCATTTGATGAACACATGGCAGTTTTCATACGCAAACTGCCTACTTAAGTATCATGTGCGCTATAAAAGCAAGTCAACAATGAGTTGTATAGTGTCAGAAGAGTAGCTCACTCTGCATTCACCATGAAGATCATTAGACTGTCCTTGTCATAAAGCAGTGAATTGTATTGCAACTGTTGGCTAGAGATGTACATTAAATTCCTTCTAAACCAGCTTTTACGCTATTTGACGTTAAATAATAGTGTGATTTAAAAAAAAAAAAAAAGAAATTAAACTTAGGCATGGTCTGCATTCTCATCTACTCACCAGTAATTGCTCAGCGTATTGGCACAACACTGACCCTCGGATTCACAAACATGTCACTTAATTCAGAATTTACATGCAAAAAAATTCCTGATTTATTTAAAAGCTCTTGAGACACTGTATGCGACTGCAGTCTTGTAACTTCACATACATACACACATTGCCAATCTTTGCTAGGCCGAGTGGCTCAGCATCCACCTTGTTTCTGTGCCTGTTTGGGATTAATTAAGTAGGCATTCTTGGGACTGCGGCTCCTGTGGACTGCCACAAGATGTGTGATTTTGTTCACACATTGTCAAAGTGCAGGCATTCGGGGTCAAAAAGCCTGCAGTGAGGTGCTGCCGTTGAGGGGAGGTGTCTTGTGCTCTCTTCTTTATGTAGTTGCTTGATTGGCAGAGCACTCGTCTACCCGTTGCGTGGTTGGTGAGCCCTTCTGCCTGGGGATCTTCAGATGCACAGCTCCCCATGTGCTAGCCACATGCTCTCAAGAGGAGGATGGAGCTGCCTTCCATGCTTCTGATGAACCTCTGGTATACAAACACAAATGGAAATTTTGTATGGTTAGAGTGTAAACAAGGAGCAGCAGATCTGTCACTTGGGGAGGTGGTTATCCTTACACTTCTTGAGAGGGCAGAATTCAGTGTTCAGGTCCCTGCTGCCTGGAGTGTTCGTGCATTTTGCATTCAGGGTCACCAAGTGAAATGTTTATGGAGTAATGACAGCAGGGACTTTCACTTCAAAGACAAGTGCTCTAAAAATGTGTCATTCTGCCACTTCCTCTTGTTATCATTGTCTTCTTTGTAAAGTCCTCTGTCCCAAAAGGAGTACCTTAGTGGGCTAAATGCAGATAAAGGCCTTAATCCTCAAATCACAGGCAGCATATCTGCTGTGTCAAAGCTGCTTCAACTGTAGAGAGAGGCAAGGTTGCAGACACCCATCTCTGACATGTGCATTGGTGATGGTAAGGACCATTCTGTACTGGCAGATGGAAGGACTGTCCTACACAGTGCTCTGGTTGCAGCCCCTCACTTCCCACCTTGGGTGGGTGGCAAGCCTCTGCCTTGGTCTGTTTCTTCCCAAAGTGTTCCGGATTCTACTGTACTCAGCAGTACATCTTGGTAACTTTGGGATTGAATGTTTTTTGAAGTGCAGCTTTTCCCATGGTGTCTTCTGGGGCATGATTCATTTGGGCATTTACAGGTCATAAAGTTCACTGTCTGCATTCTTATCTTTAGTAGATGCTTACAGACATTTCACTGTTCATTGTTTCCTCTGTCATCCTGATCTATTATGTTACCCAATCTCTGTTTGAACTCCACCACAGTGCTTATCAGTACTTGTGGTTATTGGAACTGCTCTTTAAGTAATTTTATGATAAAGTTGTATATATTAAAAGCTTTGCTGTTCAGGAATGGTGTGTGTATCAGCATCCAATTCGAGATTCTTTGTTGTCTCCAGAATTGTGTTTTCTAGATAGTGCTGTCTTAGTCACACAACCATTTCTTTGTCAGTACCTGGAGAAGCATAAAAAAAAAGATTATCATATAGATACTCTCCTCTGTTTGCTCATTTAAGCTATTTTCTCCAGCTGTCTCTGTCTCTTCAGTGCCATATATGACAGCTGGGATTATTTCTGGTTTTTACACTGCTAGATACTTCGTTTCTGTTGCTACGAACTCCTGGATAAACTGAGTCTGTGTTGTCGCTTGTGGATATTGGCAAAGTTTCACAGCAGTTTTATCTGTGGTCTGGGCTCTTTCTCAAAACTTCTTGCAGGTGGCCTTGGATGTGGCACGCATGGTTTTAGGAAATGTATTGATGAGGTGGGGATCCTGGTTTCAATGTTAAAGTCTTCCGAAGAACAGGCTGTCTTCAGGGGAAGTCCTGATTTGTGATGGCAGTACCTGTTATAACTTGAAGATTGACAAGGTCTTTGTTGTGTGAGTGATTCTAGAATGACTCTCAAAGTTGTTTCAGCACAAACCCCTTAGCTTTTGCGTCTGCACTGTAGAGCCGATCTCACTTTGAGCATCTTGAACAGCAAGAACACTGTAAGTCTCATGAATGCGAGAAGTCACTCCTGAGTTTGTTCAGATACATACAGCTCTGTGATGTGCCAGTCTTTTTGATTCAGGATGGATGTAAGGCCATGAGAGACCTGAATCAATTCATGAATGCCATCCATCTTTGAGGGTGAAATACTCCACATCACATAGCAGAATGTATCTGCCTCCTTCTCCATGACAGACTATATCTAAGGCTCACAAACCTGTTTCATACAATTTGGGCTCACTCTTTGCAATTACACTGTTATGAGTGAGAGTTTCTTTTCTGTTTCTTGACAGACAGGTGGGTAATTCAGACAGGCGAGTCATTCTGACCAGTTTCTTTGGGAAAATACCATTTAAGTTCTTCTGTTCATACAGATTGATTGTGACTGCCATGTCTATGTCAGGATGGGGACTTCCACAGGAAATCTGGTAGCTTGTGATCATTGACCTCTGGAGAAGTAAAAATGTACGAAGGGTGTTCTGCAGCCTTGACATGGACCTGTCTACGTCAGATGGCACCAAGAAATGGCAGGGTTTTTTTTTCTCACTTGCCATTCAGTGTCTTGAATCAGACACAATCCTGATTATAGAGAAAGGCGTAGACCTTCCTCCTGTTTGGTCAATACTGACTGTGGTCAGGGCAAGGTAATACTTCCCAGGCCTTGATGATTCTGGTGTCAGGAGGTTATCTGTAAGCTGTCTCTGACTGAGGAGTTCAAGAAATATATTCCCTCTCTTAGACCTGTGACTGAGAAATCTGGAGCATTATGGAGTTTCAGCAAGCTTCCTTCTAAGCCTTAAGATGCTGGACAGGAATGTAATTGCTAATTTCTGTGGGGCCGTCCCTTACCACTTTTTCAGGTTACGAGATGTAGGTAAGTAGCCAGACAGGAAGCTAGGCTTAAAATAGAAAACCAGTCTTGCTAAACAAAAATCACATTTTTAATCTATTATTTTCTTAAAATTAAGGAAAATGGTTTTTATTTAAGAGCAATCCTTATGCCCAAACTACGTGTAATGAAATTTCCAAGAGTCAACTCTGTGGTATCTATTGCAGGTGTTTGATCTGGAGTTAGAAATAGAACAGTCCTCTGAAGAGTTACTCACTTTTACTGGTCTCTTGAGAACTAGAGCAAAGCAAATTCTGCTGTCATTAAAGGTGCAAGAATCGTATGGTTGATTAATTTTCTCAAAGACAGAAGAGCAACTATTCAGTGTGCTTACTTTACTAATAGCTGTTTTAGGTGAAACCCTTTTTGGATGCTTATAAATCAATATGCAAAACCAGAATTCTGCATTTTTATTTTAATGAAATTGAACATACAGCACATATACCCTGAACTGGAAATGCATTCTGTAGTGGATAGTTTCTATTTGAACATCTGTTCAGCATAGTGTTTGGGAAAAGTTTTCTTTCCTCTCCTTTTTGCTATATAAGCAATTCTGGTTCACACTGGAACATAGTTCAGATGGAAAACTATTAGAGGGAAATACAGCATTCTGTTTGTATAAAAAGTTTGGGGTTTTTTTGAGCTGTGTTGGAATGTAAGGACACTTCTAAATAGGTTATTTCGTGGAAGTATTATTTCAGACTAAAATTTAGTTTATCAAGACACATGATGTTCTTATTAAAAACAAAACCCTCATCTTTTCAATCACAGAAAATATAGATAATGAAAGCATGCAGGTTTCTTAAACTCACTTTTTTCTCAAGAAATTGATTGTACTTAAAGTCATCTGTTATGGATTTATTTGCACTTGTTTGAATTAATACCAACAGCAGAGGTAGCTAAATTGCATTATCTCCTCTCTCACCTTTTCATATGGTTTATATATATCCCGTTTTCTACCCCCACTTTCTCTAGTAAATTAAGACCTCTGGGTTATTTCATTGTTTTTAAGAGCAAAGGTGAATCACTTCTGGTCCCCTTGTAACCAGGTCTTGCATTTTCCCTTCAAGTTCTTCCTAATGATACCCAGTGATTTCTGATGATATGCTCTGGGCCGTCTGTGGGAAGAACGTGGATGGGTGCAATTGAAGAGGGAACTATGCATAATTGCAGTTAACATCTTGTATGCTTAGATTAGAACCATGTCCTATGGATTTTATGTGGTTAATTGTGTGTTTATGTTTCTCTGGTGTTCATAAGGACACTGTCAGCATGGTGTTAAAGTATTATATTCTGTGCTGACAATCAGCAAGTATTTGTAAGACTGTACAAGGACTCAGAGGAGAGCTTACTTCCTACTGCTTTGGTTTTAGGACCCGTTATTTCTGTAAGTAGGTTATTATTGATAAAGTGCATTTATACAGCATTATTGTTTCATTAGCATTCAAAAGTTGCTTTGTTTACTTTTGTGTTCATAAAAATAGTAAAAAACAAACCCCAACCCTGGAAGATTACTTATACAGGCAAGAACAATTACTAAGCCATTATCAGTATTTTCATTTGTGATGATTCCATTAAGAATTTCCGTCTTACTGGTCATCACACAGATCTAGACCTTTTTGAACTACTTTATGAACTTTCAGCTTGAAGTTGAAACCTATTTCAATGTTGAGCAAAATCATACTGATACTTGTTTTCTTTTTCTCCCCCCTGTTTTCCAGGATGGTACGAAACAAAAGCGGGAACGGAAGAAGACTGTGTCATTTAGCAGTATGCCAACTGAGAAGAAGATCAGCAGTGCAAGTGACTGTATAAACGCAATGGTTGAAGGCTCTGAGCTCAAAAAGATTCGATCCAACTCTAGGGTGTATCACCGATATTTTCTTTTAGATGCAGATATGCAGTCTCTACGCTGGGAACCTTCAAAAAAGGATTCTGAAAAAGCAAAGATTGATATTAAATCAATCAAAGAAGTAAGAACAGGAAAAAATACAGATATTTTTCGCAGCAATGGGATATATGACCAGATATCAGAAGACTGTGCATTTTCAATTATATATGGAGAAAACTATGAGTCACTAGATCTTGTTGCTAATTCAGCAGACATTGCAAATATTTGGGTTACTGGCTTAAGATACCTGATTTCTTACGGAAAACATACTCTAGATATGATAGAAAGTACTCAAGATAATATGCGGACTTCATGGCTTTCACAAATGTTCAGTGAATCAGATGTAGATAATTTGGGACATATACCCCTGTGTAATGCTGTACAGTTTATAAAAGACTTAAATCCTGGTTTAAAAACTAATAAAATTGAACTGAAATTCAAGGAGTTACATAGATCCAAGGAGAAAACTGGTACTGAAGTAACAAAAGAAGAGTTTATTGAAGTTTTTCATGAGCTTTGTACCAGACCTGAAATCTATTTCCTGTTGGTTCAGTTTTCAAGCAATAAAGAATTCCTAGATACCAAGGACCTCATGATGTTTTTAGAAGCAGAACAGGGTATGGCACACGTTACGGAAGAAATAAGCCTGGAAATTATTCACAAATACGAGCCAGCCAAAGAGGGGCAGGAAAAGGGTTGTCTTTCTATAGATGGGTTTACGAATTACCTTACTTCACCAGACTGCCACATATTTGATCCCGAACATAAAAAAGTTTGTCAAGATATGAAACAGCCTTTATCTCATTATTTTATAAATTCATCTCATAATACATACTTGATAGAGGATCAGTTTCGAGGGCCTTCTGACATCACAGGCTACATTCGTGCTCTTAAAATGGGTTGTCGCAGTGTTGAACTGGATGTATGGGACGGCCCGGATAACGAGCCTGTGATTTACACAGGGCATACAATGACATCACAGATTGTCTTCCGTAGCGTGATTGACATTATTAACAAGTATGCATTTTTTGCTTCAGAATACCCTCTTATTTTGTGTTTAGAAAATCATTGTTCCATTAAACAGCAGAAAGTGATGGTACAACACATGAAGAAAATTTTGGGGGACAAACTACATACGCAGTCTCCAAACATTGAGGAGTCTTACCTTCCATCACCAGAATCACTTAAAGGGAAAATACTGATTAAAGCAAAGAAGCTTTCCTCCAATTTTTCTGGACTAGAGGGAGATGTTACAGATGAAGATGAAGGAGCAGAAATGTCACAGAGAGTGGGGAAAGAAGGGGTGGAACAGCAGAACTCAATGACAGGGAAACGGTTTCAGCTCTGCAAAGAACTCTCGGAGTTGGTAAGCATATGTAAGTCAGTTCAGTTCAAAGAGTTTCAAGTTTCATTTCAGCTCCAGAAGTACTGGGAAGTGTGCTCCTTTAATGAAGTGCTTGCTAGCAAGTACGCCAATGAAAACCCGGGAGACTTTGTCAATTATAACAAACGTTTTCTTGCGAGGGTTTTCCCCAGTCCTATGAGGATTGACTCCAGTAATATGAATCCCCAGGACTTCTGGAAATGTGGTTGTCAGATAGTAGCAATGAACTTCCAAACGCCTGGCTTAATGATGGATCTTAACATTGGTTGGTTTCGACAGAACGGAAACTGTGGCTACGTCCTTCGTCCCGCTATTATGAGAGAAGAAGTGTCCTTCTTCAGTGCGAATACAAAAGACACCGTGCCTGGAGTTTCGCCTCAGCTGCTTCATATTAAAATCATTAGTGGGCAAAACTTTCCTAAACCCAAAGGATCAGGTGCCAAAGGTGATGTTGTGGATCCTTATGTCTATGTTGAAATACATGGAATCCCTGCAGACTGTGCAGAGCAAAGGACTAAAACTATGCATCAGAATGGAGATAATCCAATTTTTGATGAAAGCTTTGAATTTCAAATAAATTTACCGGAACTAGCTATGGTGCGTTTTGTTGTGCTGGATGATGATTACATTGGGGATGAGTTTATTGGGCAATACACTATTCCCTTTGAGTGTCTACAGACTGGTTATCGGCACGTTCCTCTACAGTCTTTAACTGGTGAAAATTTAGCACATGCATCCTTGTTTGTGCACGTGGCCATTACTAATCGAAGAGGTGGTGGGAAACCTCATAAGCGGGGCCTCTCTGTGAGGAAAGGCAAGAAATCAAGGGAATATGCTTCCATGAGAACATTATGGATTAAAACAATAGATGAAGTGTTCAAGAATGCTCTCCAACCTATTCGGGATGCCACGGATTTGAGAGAGAATATGCAGGTACAGTTTTTACAATGTATTTATTGGTTCTTATGTGTATTTTTGTATTATGATGCCTATGGAATATATGTTTTTGAGAGTCTTGCTGTGTTTTATCAGTTACATTATTTGAGTCTAATGCTGAACAGCTTTAAAGACGGATTATATCAGGGAAGCCTTTTAGGTGATACTGTCTATTGAGGTAACCTGGAATGCATATGCATGTTTTGTTGAATGTGAACTGGAAACATGACGCCAGTGTTAGAATTCAGACTTGTTGACTTGTCTTGTCTCTTTGAAGGAATGTTAGATACACACTAGAGGAAAGTATAGCAATATTTTGGTTTTAGAAAATTAAGTTAAATAGAAATGGAGGAGGAAAATACAGCTGATAGAAAAAGGAGACTTTATGCATCATTAGAAAACTTACTGTATGTGAAAGTATATTTAGCATAGTTTCACCGAGGTTTTGTTTTTTTCTCATTCCCAAAGAGAAGGCAGTACTTCTGAAACATGTTTGCTTTCCATGATTCTTCCTAGCAAGAATATGTTAAAAAAGCGTGGAATTAGTGCTAAGGTATTAGAAGGTATCTGCTAGAAGAAATTACCTTACCTTAAAGGTCACATAAAGTAAACACATGGAATTTCAGGAAAAAGTACAGGCTGAGGTGCTTGTTTTTGTGGAAGTCAAGAGATCTCACCTGAAAAATACATTGTTTGGAGATTCCGTTAAAGGATCCAGGTGAAGATACCCTTTTAGACATAGATTAAACTGAGTTGTAAAGTTGTATTTTATTCAGTAAAGCTTTTAACTGCCTATAAAATTCTGATGGAATGCTAGCAGTGATCAATTAAATTAAGCATAGTCATTTCAAACGAAGTGACCTATTAAATCCTCTTATGTAATGTTAAGGGGAAACTGATTGAAGGAAATGTCTGAGACCTGATTCTGGCGCATCAGTGTAGATAATTTTTCTTCGTGAATAGTCTTACATTAAAGAGATTTTAATAGTAATACAGTTTTAAAACTAATTTTTCTTCATATGAAAGAAGAAATTAGTACAGTATTATGAAGCTCTCCTGTTCACATGGTGTATAAAATTGCTGCACTAGAAGATTGTTAAGAAAATACGGGGGTGATATTTTGACTCATAAATGTTTCATATTATGGGCAACATATAAAGTGAACTTTACCTGCAGTAAACCTATTGAAGGCTAGAATTCTATCATGTAAAGGATACTGTATATTAAGGTTGCTTTCAAGGAAGACCTGAACCTAAGATTTGAGGAAACGTTGAAAACATACATTTTTTTGCAGCTGCTTTAAACTCTTTACTGTGGATGCTGCAGTATTTTCCAGAAATGATATAATTGAAACCAGGCTCAGTGTGGTTTCTTTGAACATGGGATATTAAAAGGTATTTTATGTATTTTATTCTGTCAGTTTGAAAGTTGTGCTAGCAACTAAATTCATTACCATCTCTCCAAATGCTATTAAGAAGATATTTTAGGTACATGAGGGAATAATAGTTTTGCATAGCTTTACTGACAGATTATGTAATGTGCACAGTTTAAACTTTGCAAAACTAAGGTTTTACAACTAATAAAAGTAAATAAATCACTCAAAATAAGTATCAACTTATGCCAGGGAATGTGAGATTTGTTTGATTTCTGTATTACTGAGATTTGGTGTTACAAATTGTTAAGATTTTTATGATACAGAAATAATGTGCCCACGAGCCAGCTTATAAAGAGCAAAGTGGTTTGTGTTTTTTGTGGTTGTTTTTTTGTTTGTTTGTTTTTAATACAAGGTGAAAGAAGAGAAAAAAAAAAGTGCAGCTGTGAGTCTAATGATTTCTCTAAATATGTATAGAAATAGCGAGCCTTCTTTCTTCCTTGTTAGGTACTACATTACTGTGACAAAAGCTAATGTCATAACTTGTTATTACATATTAATCACTGACAAATGTGTAACATGAGTGATTAAACTGGCTGTGATGTCGCATGTTTAAGTTGCTTGACAGTATGAGGGATAGTCTCTGGATATAGAGTTGGAAGTCCAAAGGCAAAGAGTTACAGCTATAGTTCTGTCCTGCCTGCAATTAATTGATATATATGTTCCCTGGGTCCTCCTGTCTGTAAAACTGATGTTTATAGTGGCTTATCCGTGATGTTTATCTCAAACAAAATCTGTTTGAATGGGATTACCAATGTCTGTCTTTTCAACTATGTAATTATTGTGTCGTTAAGGTGTAGTCCAGTTAATAACAGTAGTTTCTGTTTCCTGGACATTTACTAGATGCTACTAAACATTTACTTGAAGGGCATTGTAAGTGACTGTAGTAGATGTAATCTAGTATTCACATAATTTTACATGATTATGCTATATATACATATTTTGAAGTCTTCTTTGGGTGTTCTGTCTCATAAAGAGACAGCAAAATATTTCATGTTTGATTCCTGTTTGCATTAAGTTTGGCATTATGTCTCTCTAAGAAACTTGTCCACAAATGAGTCATACCATGCCAGCAAGGCGGAAGATGGTTTTGATTAAGATGAAAATCTGGGTCAGATGCCCTGCTTGGTTAACACATGAGAGAAAGGAGCACTGAGCACATTTGCAACTTTAATATGCCATGTTTTTGTTTTTGTTTCCTACAGGAACACAAACTCCAGACCTGCCATAGATCACCAGCTCCCACTTGGTACAAAAATCCTAAATTCATTAGTGCTGAGAATATGCCCATCATGGAATTTCAGTGGCTACTTAGAGTCACATTGTATTTCTAATACTGGAAATTTTCTTAAAGTTTAAATGTGTAGCTTTGTAATACCCTATTGGATTTAAAATACAACTATAATAAATTTTAGGGAAAGGTACAAATTGGTATTTATATTACAGTGCCTTAAATATTCACTTAAGTGTGATTCTGTGATAGGAATGACATCGGTAGTGGAGTGCTGGGTTTGTGAATCACACCAAATGGGAGCCAGCAGATCCACAGCACGTCTGGACTATAGTTCAGGTATGTTTAAAGTTACAAATGTGCTGAATTCCTCCTTCCATGTCAATTTTGCTGATTTGGGATGTTCAGCACCTAATGTCTGTTTCCCTTGGTGGCATTTTAAAAAATACTATGAAATATATTTTAGAATTTTTAAAAATACATAACCAAACATTTATTTGCGTGGTTAATTTTAGTACCCGTGACAAGTATTGAATTGTTTGAATTTTTAAAATTTTTGGTAAAATGTATCTAGTATGGTTGCTTTGGAAAATTACCAGCTGTTAGGGACAAACTGTTCTAATTCCACATTGTAGATCAACTATAACAGTGAAGTATTTTATCCTGAAAGAATGAGACTTTAAAATTCATGTTTAACTGTAAAGGAAACTCTTTCTTTCCTTTTTGCAGAACGCAGTAGTTTCATTCAAAGAATTATGTGGCCTCTCTCCTGTAGCAAATCTTATGCAGTGCATTTTGGCAGTGTCTATGCGCTTGGTTGGGCCTGATAATACACCCTTGGTAGTACTGAATCTCAATGATCAGTATCCAACTATGGAGCTCCAAGGGATTGTTCCAGAGGTCTTGAAAAAGATTGTAACAGCATATGACATGGTGAGTAGTCCTTTGTGGTCATTTTATATGCTATTTGAAAGACTTTCTTTTTGTAATATACAGTGCCATGCCTGTTTTGAAAGGTCATTTTAACCTGTGACTTCCTGTTTCGTGCTGCATTTAATGTGCTTGAAAATGATTCCCATGAATGTACAGCAGCTGATAGTGTTTTCTTATTGAGTAAAACATAGAGATTAATAGATGGCACGCAAATTCATGTTTGTACACTTCGGAAGGCAGAGTGGTTATAATCAAGAGGATTTAAAATGAAGAGGATGTATTAATTTACCTGTTTTGCAGTAACTTGAAACTTTTTGCATATTTATAAACCTCTTACATTAGTTTGCTACTTTACATTTTCCAGTTTGTGGACCTTGATTTCTTTTGGCTTTGACTCCACACAGAGTAGAAAAACATCAGGAACTGCTTTAAGGAATTGTATTTTTATACTTGAAGTGTTAATTCTGTACATGCTTTTTCATTTTCCTTTGCTATATCTTTCTATGCTAGATCTCATTTACTTAGGCATTTTCACATCTGTAAGCAGCTGTAATGTTAACTTCAGCCCTTATACTCCAGGAAATACGTAAATTGTGTCTTTAGAGACTGGAAATCAAACATTGTGCAAGAAGGAAGAAGTGGTACACAGGGAAATACTGATTTACGTCTGCCGTTCATTAATTTAAAGCATAGAAAAAGAATCCGGACAAGTGTCCTCCTTATTTCCACTGAAGTAATCTGGCACAAAGTAATTGAGCCCTTATTTATTTAATAATTTCTTTAATTTGATATATCATCGGACAGTAACTAAATGTTTCTAAGATAATTTTGTCTGCTAAAATTAGAAACCTCTCCTGGCAGTATCAAGGCACTGTTTTAAAAACAATGCTATTTAAAGAAAGAAAATGAAGGAAAAGAAACCAGTAGCCGGGTTTCATATATATCTTTGAAACTGCTTTCTAAAGAAAAAGTAGCTTTAGAATAATGCTCTAGCAAGGTCTGAAAAGGACTCATTGGTAAATAGCAATTTAGGTAGAGTTTATATAGTTTGGTGATGAGGTAAATACAACAGTATTTGATTGGAATGGTGGTACAGTTATGAGGAGACAGTGAAAAAAATCCTTCTTAGTTGTAGCTTATAAGATATCACTGTAGATGATAACAAGCTTGATTGTTGGCAGTACACCTGTAACACCTACGTAATGAAATTCAGTCCTGCTGTTGGAGATGTCTCTACCTGCAGTTTGTTCTGATGTGGATGTGGTGTTGCTGCTTCTAAGCTTCTAAGCTATTCCAGATACTTAAAATCTTTCTGTAAGTGAGGCTTAATATTTCTGTTTGAATGTCACGTAAACAGAGGTGACTCATGACTCCAGAAATCTTTCCTATCCGAGTTTGGTTTGTCAATTTGTCTCTCACATACATTTCCCCCCCTCCCCGCATCCTGTAGTCTGCACATGATTTGAATATTTGTGTACTTTAGAAATGTGTATTTTCATATGTCATAATAATAGAATATTTGTTTAGTGGCATGTTCAAATAATTTTTCCATCTCCTCTTCCCTAAAGGATAAAGACTCACTCTCAGACTAAGAATATGATGGTGTTTCTAGATATAAGTAATATTGAAGATAAGTAAAAATTAAGATTATTTTCATCAAATAAAACTTAAAAATTGATGAGACGCATTTCGGTTTGTGAAACTTTGGTCTTGCCAATACTCTGTCCAGGCTGACAAAAGGTTTTAAGGTAATTAACATCTGTAGGGTATAATGGAAAATGAAGTCAGCCATGGGAGCAATACTGATAGCTCTTGGTTATGGAAGCACATCATGAAACAATAGGAGACATCCATCCACATCATCCTTTTCTCAGTGAGAGGAGTTGTGAAGCTCTTGATATATTAATATTTGCTATAGTGGCAGATGTTTAAAGTCTGATACTTTCGTAGCTAGTGTTCTTTTTATGTGTTTTTGGTGTAAATTAATAAAGTGAGCTCTCAAAATGACACATTTTATCTCAGTGGTTGGTTTTGGCTTGGGGATTTTTTTGACATGATTAATTAACAGGTGGGTGTAAAATGCAGCTTAATAAGGAGAATCCTTATCCAGAATTAAGAAAGGGTGGATGTCAAAATAATAATAACCTGCTTGTCTTATTTTCTGCTGGCTTAGGCCTCAATATAGGTCAAAATTATGTTCTTCTAGTGTGTCAAGTGCTGCAAGTATGAAATCAAGTTGATAACAGAGTTTGTGTTAAATGTTTAGTCTATAAACCTTGGTTAATACCACAGGCTGTCATTATCTTCCGTGCATTCTCAGTGTGGCACATCATAATAATAGTCTCAAAGTACTGCTGTTTCGGGATCACGATATTTTTGGCTAATGAAGGGATTCTTATTTGTCAGAAATACTCTTCATAAAATGATAATAAACAGACAACAATATTTTTATTTTTAATTACTCAGAGTTTGTTTTTGTTGGGAGTGCTTACAGGTCTCGATGTTGCTCTGTAAAGTGAGAAGGGATGTAAGACCTTTACAATGGGACAATCAGTCCACACTCAAATAATTACAAAAGACTGGAATACTGCAGGGGCACATGGAAAGGTGAAAATACCTTCAATGCAGCACAGGTAGATGTATCTTTTAAAGGAACAATGAGGCAAATAATATCTTAATTAGCTTATCACTAGGCACTTGGGGTTTTCATGTAAACAAACAGCACATAATCCTTTCTTAAATTGTCAGCAGTCAGTACTACATTAATGAAGGAGCTTGTAAGTGATAAAGTCTAGTAGTATTCAGAAGTTAGAATACTGCATTTTTAAATCTGATGAGTAATTTGTCACCAGCATTATTAGAACCAGAAGTTTACCCAGGAAATAAAAAGATCTTTTGCTTTTATCCATGCTATAGGAGCTGGAGTATCTTTTCAGAATAACGAGAAACAAATATAACTGAGAACTTTTTTGAGAAGTTTAAATTATGTATTTTTCTCTAGCTTCTCCATACTCCTGAGTATTTCTCCCTTAACATCTTTTCACTGTTTAACAATGTTTTATTTTTCCCTCTTGTTCATGAACTTCAGCTTCCTTTATGTGGTACTTCAGCATGCACTCTGTTGGTGTCATCACACCCATCACTGATCAGTGCTGCAGACTGAAGCTTGGAGTTAAGGCAAGTGCCTCTTCCACACCATTGCATGTTTTTTTTAAAATGTCTTGTAACCTTTAAGATAAACAGTAAGTAAACCTTAAAAAGTTATGCTATAGCAAGAGAAAAAGAATAATTATCTTTACCTAAGTCTGCAGCATTATTCAGTGATGAGTATAATAGCACTGCAAAGATATGCTAGAGGATCATACAAATGAAGCCAGAGGATCATACAAATGTGCCCTTAGTGAAGGATGAAGTCTCCCATTGATGAAGATAAAGTTTTCTGAACTTTGTAATCAGACATTTCCTTCTAAGAGGAAACCTAACCCAGAAAATGTAGAGAACTGTACCTGTGTGAAAGAAGATAAAGTAGTGCTGCTATAATACTTAGGATTAAATGTTATTAAAGCCTAATTAGATAATGCTGCTAGATCCATTTTTGCACAGGGTTTGGTGGGGATAGGCTAAAGAACAGGTCTGTGTTTATTGATGGTGTAGGTTGTGAAATTATGAAAATGAACAAAGCTAGTAAACCAGAAGACACTATATAATTAGTGCTTAGTAGCTCTACCGTAAGTTTAATTCCAGTTACCTTATTGTTGGCTCATTTCAGCTACTGACTCAATACAGCAGATTGCATATGCATCACATGGAAGTTAATTTCATGTGAAGGAATTGCAAATTTGGCTGATGACATAAAATGAGTATAATAGTCTGTATTTTGAACTTGAACATATCTATCCTGTTGGGAAAGAGTTTGGCATTATACCTTGAAGAGCCATTGACCAGACTGGTACTAGTGGAGCTTATTAAAAGACTACCTAAAAAGGACTGGTTGTCATAGTTACAGTAAAACGTTAACAGTCCTTGTATAATTCCAATATTGCTCAGACCCCTAAATATTCTTTACCTTTAAAACTCAACTTGGTAGGTGTAATGAATCGTGTGGGGCACTTCTGTCTCGAGCACGTTCTGAAGAAAGTAATATATTCATTGCCTCTTTCACAGGGCCTAAAAAAGAATGATTAGAAGATCTGTTTTGAGTTATGCTTACCTCATAAAATCTGTACTAGTTATCTTGTTGTTGCTGTAGGTCCTTGGTTGTGGTTAATTTGCAAACGCAGTAAGAAGCATTTCATTCTGCTGTGGTTATGGAATTGTATCTTGAGAACAAGTAGATGCATCTCAGCTTATTAGTGTGCCAGAGTTACTTAGCTGAAAAGTCTTTGTTCCACACATTACTCTTTGAGGTTGCAAATTTCTGGGGTAACCAGAAATACTAGATTAAGTGCTGGTAATTACCATTTTATCTCCTAAACCGCAGTGAGGCACTGGAATGGGTTGCCCAAGGAAGTTGTGAATGCTCCAACCCTGGAGGCGTTTAAGGCCAGGTTGGACAGAGCCTTGGGCGACATAGTTTAGTGTGTGGTGTCCCTGCTCATGGCAGGGGGGTTGGAACTAGATGATCTTAAGGTCCTTTCCAACCCAAACCATTCTTTGATTCTGATTCTGTGAATAGGTTTACTTGAACTTTCTTCTTGAACTTTCTTTTGATCTAAATACGCAATTTCTGATTGTGACAGAGAAGGCTGTGTTCAAGATGGTCACCAATCTCCTGTAGTCGAACTCAGTCTTTGGATCTCATATGTTTTTAAATCATGTGATGCCATGTGACCACTATCTGCTTTCTGCACATGAAGAAAATCCACATTTTTCCATCTCTGCCTTTTCTGAGGAATACATGACTGGCACAGACTGTGATAGCTGTGTTCTGTTTCTGGGTTGGTTCAGAATGTTGTTTTTGAGCTCAGGTCTCTGTAGCCCAGCTCCATGGGTGTTCTATG